GCTCTAAAAATTTTGGGGTATTACATCCACCCCTCCTAAAAAGGAGTTTTGTCCCCAAAACTCAAATCTAGGATCGTCTAGACTGGTGAATGACTTCACACAATCCAAGACAAAACAAATGCCCCAACTTTCTATGATCAGAACATGGCCACTACACTTTCGCTGCGCCACTCTGATATCAACCACAACTACCATGAAAACAACACCACCTCAAGAATAGTTCCAAGGTCAAAACATCCACGAAATCAATCAAATTTTCAAGCAGAAAAATGACAGAAATAGTGATAATCAGACCATCTATCTTACCCTTTTTAAGATAGATGCCGCTGTCACAATCACAAGAACCCAATTTCAACATACATGGCTAACATTTACAAAGGTATTATAATCAAATTCACTTCACAGGCAATAAGTGCTCATCACTACTCTAACAAGCCAATAACAAAACCCAATCTCCACTCTCCCCAATGGCCATTTGGGGGCAGGAGATAACTTCATGCCTTAACACAAGTATCTAACTCGAGGATTATCGACGTGATTATGTGGTGCCCTTGACCCAAATCAAGACCCGGCACTCATCAAACACATGGCAAGGAGTCTAATGATGAGTCCAACTAAAAGATGGAACCCTATCCGAGACGGATAAGCATCACTCGGATATATAGAATCATGAATGGATGAATGCATGTATATCCATGTATGAATGAATGCCTTTATGCATGCATGTATGAATGCCCATGTGTGCATGCATGTATGCGTGTGTATGCTCATGTATGTCTATATTTGCATTCATGTATGAATGCCCAATAAATACTTAAACAAACAGACCTAATGTGAAAGGCCTTATATATCTTGCCACAACCAAAACCAAGCATACTATCACAAGGGACCAAGCTTCAAACAAGGTCCTATATACATTCAACCACCACCCAGGGTTAATCAATAACGCGTTATTGGATGGCTAGGCAAGAATCTAAGCGGATAGAGGAAAGAACCATTCCTCTAGAACTAACTCTGGAGCACTAAATACTGTGATGATAACCCATTTAAGCATAGTCCATGGCAGCACAATATTTTTTACAATCATGTCAACCAAGGATATTAAGACATAATATCAGCATTAGGCTATCTATCCATAACCAAAATAGGAATATCTCTAAACATATCCCTAGAAGTCGTCACCCCTCCTAAAGAGGTGTCCACATGAACTTAAAACAAAAATTAATAGGTACATTGGTATACCGAGATAGCAACTAGCACAAAATTCAGAACTTGAGCAAGAGCAGGTGTCAAAGCAAAAATATTTTCAAAGACGGTTCAGAATGGATTCCACTACCAAATATCAAGCAATTTTCTACGTTAGCATATGTCAAGCTAACTTCAAGAACTCCGCCAAGCATAATTTATATTCGGATATCGACACTCAAGAAACAAAACAAGTGCATAATCCAAAACTTGAGAAATAACAAATTTCCAAACCATTTCAAGAATAGAAGCAAGTTCAGACAAAGATATTTGGTAGGCTACTTAGCAGGCAAAATTTCACCCATGTGTGAAATACTATCTTCTTTCCTGCAAGAGCATTTGAATATGTACAGAAATTTAGTGGCATCCACCACAGCCTAGACATTGGCATGACATAGGCACGTATAATATATAGACTCAAATTACATAAGGATTTCAATCAAAACATGAAAATTCTTGATTGATCATTGTCGCTTCACATCGAAGTTCATTACACAAGCAAACCAAGTTATCCACTCAAAAATCATCAAATATCAAACGGATATATTGAACCAAAATCATAAGATTGAACAAGAGAAATGAACCAAATTAATTACCGTTACGAATGCAAAATAACTTGTTTTAAGTCTGGAACTGGAGCTTACAAGCAAATTCACACACACTAAAATCATCAACAACTCCAAACACAAATTCCAGATTTATCACTGTCAGCCCAATTCATTATCCAAACAAAATTTTCCAGAACTAACTCAAATCACTGAGATTTACTATTACAATCATTCCTTGTATAACCCATCACTCATCTCACCACGGTTCTAAAATCCATTGGC